ACCCCTGAAAGGGTACCCCTTCTGAACCCTACTTTTGGCTCTCTTAAAAGGGACCTTATTGAGAGGGTCTATATCCCCAAGGGTCCCCCTAATCCTAGCTCCCAACCCTCATCGATCTTCATAACGTTTCGGGCTCGTCCAGGGTTTTCGGAGTTCCGAAAAAGGCCGTTTCGGCAAGGACAGTGGGCTTCCGTGGCTGGACACCTTTCTCATCGGACTGTGCATGTAGAAGATGTTGGAAACTTCCCCGAGGTCTGGGGAGATGTTTTTCATCTCCCAATCGGGGAAGTTCATCATCAAGACTCTTGGAGGGAACAGGTTTAGGGTTTAGGGTTTTGGGGGTTGAGGGTTTAGGGCACAGGGCCTGTATTTTTTGGTCACTGCTACATCTGGATAGAGTTGTGTATCCAATGCCGCCAGAGCGGGCAAGATTGCTCATACGATGTCAGTACCGATAGCACTAGGCTCTTTCCTTGCCCCCGGCCAGCCCTAAAAAGACATTCGGCCGCCCTCCAAAGGCGACCACTGCTAGGGTTTAGGGTTTAGGGTTTAGGGTCTACGGTAAGCAAAGAAAACGAGGGTTATCGGCTCGGCTTTTGAATCCAGAATTTGGCTTTCATGAAGCCATCCACTCAAACCCAAATCATGCTGGAATCGATCAGGAGATTTTCCCTGAGCCCAAAACCCAGAACCTCAAGCGCCCGAAACCTTAAACCCAAGCCCTAAACCCCTAAACCCTCAACCCCTAAAGCTTATTCCGTTAAACCTTAGACCCTAAAGCTTATTCCCTTAAACCCTAAAGCTTATTCCCCTAAACCCTGAAGCTTATTCCCTTAAACCCTCAACCCCTAAACCCCTAAACCGTGAAGTTTAGTCCCTTAAACCCTCAACTCCCAAACCCCTAAACAGCTTTTCGGTCTCTCAGTCCCACCTCTCGGAGCTCGCGTCGGCGCTCGCCGCCCAGAAGAGTCGCTCGCAGGAGCCCTCGGCGTAAGATGTGGGCAGTTCTTGGACGCTAAATTATAGGTCCCTTGTAGGGTCCTTTTTATATAAATTAGGGTCCCTTGTAGGGTTCTTCTTATACGTATTTTTTTTAGGACTTGAACGGGGACCCTAAAATAGAGAACTACCCAAGTGCAGGGTTTAGGGTTTGGGTGGCAGTTCTCTCTTCCGTAGGCTTTTGGTGTAAGCCAGGGCGTTGTTAGTAAGGTCTGTGGCTTGGAGTCTTGGAGTTTAGCAACTTATTTCACGGGGTTGTTTTTGTGGGGTCTCTTAGAGGCTCTATCGGTTGTAAAGGAGAGCCTTTACAGGCCTTTTTTGGTATGAGGATTGATTGATTGATTGCGTTTGTTTTTCTGGTGTTTTGTGGTGGGGGGGGGGTGTGTTTTTTTAAAATGTGATGGTTGGTTCTTTACGAAATTTGCGCTTTCTTCACGTCTGGGAAATCTGTCTCTGCACGCAATCTTTTACGAAGGTTTGTTCTCACAGATGTACCAGCATCGGGTTTAGTTGGCTAGCGCCTGCGGTTTGAGCGTGGCAAAGCAGATCGCACAGTGCAGTGTAAGGCGTTGCTATTCACAAACGAACTGATGCGATTGAAGTGGAGCCTGTTCTGGGGACTGTAAGACATGGCCCCCCCCCCGGTAGATGTGCTTCTCAACCGTAGTAAGACCATAGTAATCGCAGTGCCAGAGGCAGAGATGCACTCGAAAATGTTTGCCACATTGACTGGAGGAGTACAGCTATCTTGTGGCAGCATGGGAAGATGTTGCATACTGTCCGTTCCCTTCAGGTTAAAGTAAGTGTGTCTTGAAGCACAGAGCATGAAGCAGGTTTTTGTTTTAACAACCCTAAACCCTAAACCCTCATTGCTTTCAAACCGTGGGAAGATTTCATCTCTACCGTCGAGTAAAGCCCAGGCCCAGCTCCCGAATTACCGCGCCTAGGACCCGAAACTCCCAGGCCGCGTCTGAGGCCCCCAAAATCGGACCACCGCAAAGATCTGACTCCTAACGCTAGGGTTTAGGGTTTCGGGTTTAGGGTTAGAGTCTAGGGTTTCACTAGAGCGTCAACCATCCTAGGCACAACTAGTGGTGCAAGCGCCAACGTCGCATGGCGGTGACAAAGCCCGCAAAGCTTTGACTCAAAGCTTCAAGCCCCATCGCCCAAATCCCAAAACCCTAATCCTAAACTCTCAACCCTAAAGAAAACCCCAAGCCCTAGACTCCAAACGCAAGGCTTTTGACCCAAAGCCCTACCACCACCAGGAGGTCGAACAGCGGGTGCAAACCCTCCAGGAGGACATGACGAAAGCTGCCAGGGCCCCACATGGGTAGTTCTCTAGATGAGGGCCCCTTTTTGGTCCCCGATATAAACCTTATAAAAAGGACCCTAAAAGGGACCCTAATTTAGAGAACTACCCACATATATGTTCGCGGCTTTTGGCTTTGAGGGATTGGGCTTTGGGGGCCCGGGCCCAGGGTGTCCAAGGTTTAAACGTAATAGGGACCCCTGATTCACAAAGCCATCTCTCGCAACAAGGACTATAGTAATACTAGCAATCATCATCATCAGAGTGATAGTAAACCCTAAACCCTAAACCCTAAAAGTATTAGGGCCTTGAAAGGAAAGGGTGGCCTTCTTCAGGCTTCGATTCCTGTAGCTTAGCAGATGTGGCAGTCTGGCACTCCAGAAGCTATAAACTTTGGGGTGAAGCCACAAATAGCGTTCCCTTAAGGTTGCTGTGAAATGAAAGTGTAAACGGCCCCAAAAACTCTAGTTCAGGTCCCTAGACCATGGTTGTTGGACAGGGGGTCGAAGATTCGGGAGTGGTATTTTTGGGTCGTTGCTGGGGGCAGAGTGCGGACGTGGCATCTCAGGTAACGGAAAGGCGCGGTTCTGGGCTTCAAGGTTTGGGGTCTCGGGTGTGGAGCTTCGGAGTATCGGCTTCAAGAGTGGGCTTTTATGGTGCCTGGTGTCTCGGACCAGTTCTACCTTGGAACACCAGCAGAGTATCGCATGTGTGCGGACAGCCAGCCCCTTGCTGCATGGTAAGATCGTGGCTGCATTATCGTGGAGATGCTACGTCACGTTCCGGGGCGCGCTGAGATTGGCAATGATTCAGGCCCTTGTATGAGTTAGTGACGGTTGTTGGCCAAAGGAAGGTCCGTGTGTTGCATGTCGGGCTGGCGTTTCGGTGCTTTGGTTGCGGTCTGCTAAGGTGGACCATCACGCATCCCTGTCCCGCTCCCTCGTCGAAGCCAAGATGCGCGAGAGGGAGTTGTTGCCCGGCTTTTTTCAAGCAAATTCTTGCTGGTACCTCTGCCTACTTCTCCCTACCAAGAAGGCAATTGTTGTGATTCCCAGTTTTCGTGGTAGAGTTCGACCAGACTTCTTTCTGGCACGTGTCGCTCGAAGAAGGCAATATACGGCAAGCTTATTGGAAAGCAAAGCACTACTGTTGATGATATACATCCTGCCCCACCTTGAGGACCCTAAACAAAAAGACTTATGGTATATTCCTTATTATGGGCAACGCAGGATTTATATATCATCAACCCGTAAGAAGCCCGCTGCCCAAACCATCCTTGCGGATCTTGCTTGGCCCGATGGGCTACGAAAAGGCTCAACGGACTCCGTAGGGTTTAGGGTTTAGGGTTTAGGGTTTTAGAGTTTAGGGGTTTAGGGTTTAGGGTTTTAGGGTTTAGGGTTTAGGGTTTAGGGCTGAGTAAAGCAGTAACCTACCCTAAATGGGGCTATCCCGAGGCATTCTCCCAAAACCCAAGGCCCCAAGACCCGAAGCCCTAAGCCCCAAGCCCTAATTGCAAACCTGCTTCAGCCTACTTGCCAGGTTCCCGGGCATTTCCCGCCTGACAAAAAACCAGTGCAACATCCCACCCGCCCTCACACCACCAAAAAACCCGAAAACCCAACACCCTTACTAAACCCTAAACCCTAAACCCTAAACGCTTTTTTCCCTAAACGCCCTATGCCCAACAGCCCCAAGCTGGAGGCTACACGAGGCCGTCCGTCTCCAAGCAGTCCTCCAGGACGCTTGTCGGCTCAGTCTCTGGGGGTCGGATTAATCAATAGTACACCCTGAATGGTTTAGGGTTTAGGGTTTAGGGATTATGATCCTTTATATATATATATGTATATATATATATATATCTTTGTTTATATCTTTCATATGCGGAAGAACTAGGCCCCAAACCCTAGTTCTTGACAGCACTAGCTCAGGGTCGTTGGCCTGTTTCTGTGCCGTAGAATGTCCGTACCCCCCCCCCTCTGCGATTATTCAGATCGAAAGGCCTAGACCCAAGACGGCTTATGGCAATAAGGGGCCTGAGTGATTAATATGTTATTCCGCAGGGGGTTCCTTATTGCAATGATACTATAATATACCCCAACCCCGATCCTAATTATGAAGGTCCCCAAAATAACCCCAAACTTGAAATCTGCACCCTAGCCGCTGAAATTCCGGTACAGGGCGTTGTGGGAGCTCAGAGAATTCGAAGCATCACTCTTGCAAGGCCTCACTCCTTGAGCCATGCTCCCCAAAGCCAAAAGCAGATGTGAGCGAGCTGTTTAGGGTTTAGGGGTCCAGCCTGAACCCGAGCAGAAGGCCATTCCGCGGCTTTTGGTTCAAACTGCCAGTTTTTGTTTGTGCCACGGCTCATTGTCCATGGTGCATGTCACAGTTTGCATTTGCATCGTTTAAAGGAAGACTTTCCGAAGCGTGCCATTCCCGGAACCATGGAGGGCGAGAAGGGCGAGAAGGGTGAGAAGGGCGCCAGCAAGGGCTATGGCAAGGGCTACTGGGGAGGCCACTTCTCAGCGCTTGAGCGTTTCTTGCAACCGAGTCCGAGAGAAAGCCCTTTAACAACTATGGTATAAACCCTAGGCCCTAAACCCTAAATAACAAACTATATGGCAAATTATTTGGTAGTGGGTTTTAACAACAGCGCCATAGCAGTAACATTGTTTTAGTAGCTTAGTTACGTTGCACAAAGCTAAGAGTGCCACGCAGGTTGGGGCTACCCCCCGATGATGATGATGCCCTGGTTCGGCAAGGGCAAGGGCAAGGGACTGCGAGGCTCGCGGGGGCACACAGGGCGTCCACCCCTTTATACGCGGTGATTGTCGTGTGCAGACCCTGAGTCCTAAATCCTAAACCCTACACCCAAGCTTCGTGGAGAGCATGTGAGGTTAACGCCCTGAAAGCTAAGCCTTGTCCCTGCCTAACCCCGAAACCCTAGATCCTAAACCCTAAATCCCGATTCTCAATTTAGCCCCTTAGCCGCAAATGATATTCCTCAAAGCCTAGCCAGCACTTAGATGCCTTCCCAAGTGTGGGTTTCAGAGAAATGGGGATCCGCGTTAAGGATCTTTATCGCTTAGACTTAGACTTACATTTGGCCCCTGATTTTTAAAAAGTCTCTTTGCCGTATCCTTCAAAGCACAAACCCCAACACCCCAAATCCACAAAGAACCTAAAAACGCCAAAGTCCCATATCCCAGAAGGCTTCTGGAAAGCAAGGCGCCTCAAAGTGTGAGAGGCAGCCAGTATTCCGAAACCCTAACCATAAACCCTCGATCCTAAACGGAAAACGGTGTCCAACAAAAACACGACTAAACCCACATATAGTTGATGCATATTGATCCTGGGCCTGGCTGGGTTTTGCCAGGCTTCGCCAACGAGAAGAAGCTTGGCACAGTCATAAGGGTTTCTGCATTGGGACTCCCAGGATACTAGTCCTTCAATCCAGGGACTATACTAAAGGTCGAAGGATACCAGTCCTTCTATTCAGGGACTATACTAGAGGTCTAGTTCTTTAATCTTCGAAAATCCCAAGTTCTCCTCAGCGATCTCGGGCTTAGGTTGGCGGATGTAGGTTGCCAGGAAGATTAGCTGAGATCTGGACCGTAAGAGCGGCTGCAGTGTCTAGCGTCGTCTTCACGGAGTCTCAAAACTTCGTACTTCGGCCGCAGGTGAGATTTGCCGTTTGCAAAAGTGTGCTGAACCCGATCTGCTGCTCATCAGGTCTTCCACAGACCTCAAACGAGGATTGCTATTGCGCGCCTTGGGGTGGGGTAGTAAAGCTTCGCGCGGGAAGTGCACCGGAATAGATCCACAAGCTGCATGGGCATGGACACCCCCAGCGCTGACGGGCTCTGCATTAGCAACCAGATCTGAGGGCAGCATTTGAGGGGCTGTGTTCAGCCTGAAGACCTTGTCCCGAATGGCCCCGACACCCTAGACCCTAAACCCTAAACCGTAAACCCTGAACCCTAGACCAAGTTGGATGTTTCAGGAAGGTGTGGATCGGGGGCCTGCCGGAAGGAGAGCGGGACGTGGAGAAGAACAAGACGCTGGGCTTTCTTTGAATGATAGAGAGGCCTCAATAAATTGTCTATACTATTTTTCGGGGGTTCCTTACTCGATTTAAAGTAGAATATTATTAAGGCCCCTATATAGTTACCTGTACTATTTTCGGGGTTCCTTACTCAATTTAAAGTCTAATATATACCCCAAAACCCCAAAACCTTCAAATTACTAAGGCCCCCTATCTTGACTGCCGGGGCCTTTTGCTGTTCACAGAAAGGGTTCGGGCTTCGGGGGTGGGTTGCTCGTGTCGAGTGTGGCAGATCCGAAGGGTTGACCTTCCCTGTGAGCGAGCGGGCCCAGAGACTCCAAAACCCCTTAGTTAAGGAAAATACCTCAAATCTTATTCGGGTTCCCAATATAATTTAAGATATATTCCTTAATTAGGGGTTTTGGAGTCTCTGGGGAAAAGCTGAGGAAGCTCAAGGAGCACATGGCACAGGCGGGGCAGGAGAGTAAGAACGCCTATGTATAGTCCCTATATCAGCAGAGTAGTAATATCTCTTTTCTGTCTCTATACATGCATAGTAGCGATGGATGTGCCCTTACAGGCGGCAGTTGGCAGAGTTTTTGCTGATTTCCGTACTGCGTGGAGTTTAGGTGGAGGTGTTCCACTCATGACACCTGCATGCGAGTTCAGCTGCATGTTCGGAGACGAGGTTGAAACACCTTCAACCCTAAGCCATAACCCACCCTAACACAAAACCCCAAACTAGAAACCCCAAACCATAAACTCTGAACCGAAACTGTCACTGTGCTGCTCAAGCAGGGCATGTATCGGCAAGCCAACACCTGCAAATGCAGCAACACAGAGCCAGGCTGGTGAGTGCATCTTCGCTGAGATCAACCGCAACGGCGTGGGCGGAGCAGCATTCAAGAACCCCGAGGACTGTCTTTTGGACATTAGGTTCGGGAAGGTTTTTGAGAAGGGCTTTGGCTGACTGTCAGGTTGAAGGCAGCCATGGCGGTCTCTCGCTTTGAAAGTTCAGAAACCTGAAAACACTGTAGTTATACGAGGCTAAGCAGTGAAGAAGGCTAGCCGGGAACTTGCGCAATCTGCAACAGAGCGCAGGAGGTAGAGTACCGGTAGCACGAGTTGGAAAGTTGGGAGTGGCAACGCCGCAACTGCAGGATGTGCAGAAGGCGGTGGCCATGCTCAACGGCAGTGCCGATGCTGCAGTTCATGAGTAATGAAACCGTACAGCCCGAAGCCTCCCGACAAAAAACTTAAAGATTGGTGCCCAATCCCTTAAGCAGGCCCAGAGACCCAAAAGCCAAGATACCCGCAGAATCTTCCCAAGATTTCCCACAACATTTCACAGGCTGCGCTTTGCTGCTATCAGCATCTGGGGTACTGTTAGGCCAAGTCTCCATCTACGAACACCGTGAACACACTGCCGGTGATGATCTCTTTTGGAGAGCAAAGTTTCAGTTGCATGAAGTCTAACGAGGGCCGAACACCGCGCTCCCTCTTTACATTGGCTGCTGGCACTGCAGCGCAGGGTTTCGCAAAGGAGGGACAAAGCACCCCTAAACCCTAAAACCTAAATCCTAAACCCTAAACTTGAACGAAACCCTAAACCCGAAACCCTATAGGAATGAAAGAAACCTTAAACTCTAAACCCTGCACCCTACACCCTAAACCCTAAATCCTAAACCCTGAATCCTAACCCTTAACCCTAGACCCTGTTTCCCCGAACCGGGAAACCCAGGGAGCTCCTCAAGTCCTGAATCCTAAACTCCTCAGATCCCACAACCCGAAGCCTTCTTGCCCCCAACAAGGCTCCTTCGAGGGGCACAACATCCAGGCACGTCTTTGAGTGAAGGAGCTACTTGCTAATTGCTGATGCTGCTACTGCTACTACTGCTACT